CCCCCTCTTCCACCAGACATTTTTGTGGCTGGAAATGATGCTTAGAACTGTGCCAGCCACATGTAACCATAGGAGAAACAAGCCTAAGGAAAACACAACTTTATTCATTCCCTAAACTAACCCGTCTTTCAGCCTGCCATGCTAGCAAGAGGATGCAGTTTCCCTCATTGTTTGAGCCACTGTGAATCAGGTTTTCTCTTACAAACAAAAGCTTGTCATCCCCATGTTACCTGGATGCCAGCCAGGATCCTGCACTGGCCGGCCTCACCCGCCTCCCCAGCCTCCTCTCTCAACACCCTGGCCCTCTCTGCCTCAGCCACATTGGCCCTTTTCCATTTCCCTTGACATCATGTTGCTGCTCACCACAGGGTCTTTGCATGTGCTGTTTTTACTGCTTAGACCACTCTCTGTCCTCCTCCATTAACCATTCTTGTCTAGAGCTCCTACTTTTTCATTCTTCAGATCTCAGTTCCCTTGTCCATCCTCCAACACGCACACACACTCAGGATGGGTCCAGCAACTGCTGATACAGTCTCACACCTTGTCCTCCTTTTCCACAGTTATTCTAACGAGACCCTTCTAGTATGCCTCTCTGATGGTTGTCCATGGGGCTGCAACCAAGTCCCTTCTACTGATGAGTGCACGCCAGTGCCTAGAATGGTGCTCTGGCAACATCTGCTAAATGAATACACGCCTGACCTCCTTTGGTTCTCCTACCAGATAACAATGAGTTTGCATATTGTCAGATGAACCCTGGGTGCCGTCTCTTTGGTGCAGCCCCTTCCACACTCCTGATGCCCCATGCACCATGCAAATGCCTGTTTCTATGTGCCCTGTTCTTCCCAACATTGCAAACTGTGGGAATGGGGGGAAGGCCAGTTTGAACTTGGTTTTGCTACATGTCTGGGACACAGTGGGTGCAACACCAGGGGAGCCCATGGGAGCCTATAGGAGCCCAGCCTTGTCTCCATGAGGGTCATGAAGCTAGTTGAACCCAGACCGTGGCCACTCTACCTTTGGGTCCTGGTCAAGGATCCAAAGAGCAATTCTTCCATTAGCAGTTCCTCCAAACGATTCCTGATTCTCCAGGTTCTACTTCCTCAACTAGCTAAACGCAAGGTCACTAAAAAGAGAGACAAGGGCAGGTTCCATTTTGGTTCCACTTGACTTCTCAGCTCTGATTCCTGTCGAATTGCAAATTTTATGAGAGACAAGGAGCAGAGTTTTCTATTTTCTGCTTTCAACCCCCTTATCTCTTTTTCTCTTTCTCTCTCTTTTTTGGTTGTTATTTGTCTCATTCTAGTTTCTACTTTTTGTAAATTTTTTTTTTTTTTTTTAGTGTTTATTTATTATTGGCAGAGAGAGAGACAGAGTATGAGCGGAAGAGACGCAGAGAGAGAGGGAGACACAGAATCTGAAGCAGGCTCCAGGCTCTGAGCTTGTCAGCACAGAGCCTGATGTGGGGCTCGAACTCACGGACAACAAGATCATGACCTGAGCCGAAGTCGGGCGCTCAACCAACTGAGCCACCCAGGTGCCCCTCTAGTTTCTACTTTTTGAAAGCATTTACATTCCATTCCTCTACCCTGAGCCACACCTTTGTTTTCTCTTAGATCTGCAACTGAAAATATTATAAGCTCTCTGCTATTCCTGTTGCTAAAACATGTTTTGCTATCTGTTACTTGGTTGGAATTAGTCTGCTAGAAGGTTCCTCATGGCGCCTGGGTGGATCAGTTGGTTAAGCGCCTGACTTCGATTCAGGTCATGATCTCACGGCTCATACGGCTCATGAGTTTGAGTCCTGTATCGGGCTCTGTGCTGACAGCTCAGATCCTGGAGCCTGCTTCAGATTCTGTGTCTCCCTCTCTCTCTGCTTCTCCCCCACTCATTCTCTCTCTCTCTCTCTCAAAAATAAATAAACATTAAAAAAAAATAGAAGGTTCCTCAAGAATAAAATATTTACAGATGGACTAGGAAGACTTGGGGTCTGAGCTCATAATTGTTATAGCTAGGCCTCTTGGGTTATTGCAATGTATCCATGAAGATTCATTGTGTTCTATTTTTGTGTGTGGCATTTAATATTTAAAATTTTTGGGGGCTCCTGGGTGGCTCAGTCGGTTAAGCGGCCGACTTCGGCTCAGGTCATGATCTCGCGGTCCGTGAGTTCGAGCCCCGCGTCAGGCTCTGTGCTGACAGCTCAGAGCCTGGAGTCTGTTTCAGATTCTGTGTCTCCCTCTCTCTGACCCTCCCCCGTTCATGCTTTGTCTCTTTCTGTCTCAAAAATAAATAAACGTTAAAAAATGTTTTTTTAAAATTTTTTACTATTTTATTTTTGAGAAAGAGAGAGAGATAGAGAGAGCGTGAGGGGGGAGGGACAGAGAGAAAGGGAGACACAGAATCTGAAGCAGGCTCCAGGGTCCGAGCTGTCAGCACAGAGCCTGATGCGGGACTTGAACACATGAACCACGAGATCATGACCTGAGCTGAAGTCGGACGCTCAACAGACTAAGCCACTCAGGCGCCCTGGCATTTTCTATTTTAAAAATGTTAAAAAGTTAAAATAAAAACTTTTTTTTATTATTATTGAAATCATTTTAATTTATTTAGTTAAAATTGACTAAATTTAGATTTTAATGTAGCTAAATATGCTAATGTTAATTCCTGGCTTCTGATCATTGTATTGTGGTTGTGTGAGATGTGAACACCCCCGTCAGGGGAGTCTGGGTGAGGAAGACAGGAAAACTATATTACTTTCATAACTCAACTAACACTGAGTTGGAAGAGAGACACTACCCTATTAATCGTAAAACCCTTGTATTCCTGACGCTGGAGGCTGTCAGGAATCTGAAGTTCAGATCTGAAGTGGCATTTCCCAGATGGCAGTGGGAGTCTGGGTTGGGGGTAGGGGCAGGGGATGCACCCAGACTCCTCTGCTCAGGAGCCTGCCCCTTTTTCATGTAAGCGCTGGACTCACCTGTATAGCCGCGACCCCTCCACCCCTCTGCCTCTTAGAACCAAACTGACTTTTAGAAGATTCTACGGGCAGCCTTCTCTTTTCCCAGTTGCAGCCTCCAGCATTTTGCAAACAAGGGTTTGTTTAGCCCTTGTTTCCTCAAAGGCTCTCTTCACTCTTGGAAGGTGGTGGTCTTATGTCTGACACCTCTGGAGATCCTTGGGCATCTTCCGCTTCCTCCTTCACCTGCTCAGGTTCTTAGTTCTGTCCCGAAGAGTTCTCATTCAACACCTGAGACCACCCCCCCTCCCCGGGTCTCTCCCACTCTTCTGCACTTGCCTGCCTTCCCACATTGGTTCTGCTGGTCTCACCTGCTCCTGGATTTGCATGGTTTCCCAGCTTCTCTGAAGAGAAATTTGATGTGTATGTGTGTGTGTGTGTGTTGATGATGGGCTGCCTTCCTCTTCCTCCTCCTCCTCCTCCTTCCCCCCCCTCCTCCTTCATATGGTTTCAAGAAGGAGAAATGGGACTATTTAGAATTAAGCTGCTGCCCTGTTGCCTCCAGACATGGCAGTCTGGCAGGCTGAGCTGGTATTCTGTTTACAGAGAATCCATATCCACTGTCTGCCTGCTCCTCCCTGCCCTCGCCCCAGGAACCTGTCCTCCTGAACTGCATCACCAGGGCTCCCTTGCCCTCAGTCCCAGTTGGGTTCAGCCAATGGGTGACACACGGCTAGGTCACAGAGGGAGAGGAGAGGTATTTGTTCCCCATGTAGCCTCCTTGCCTGACGTGGTTTGGCAGTGGCTGGGTTCCTCTGCTGCTGCTCCTGTTGAATGATCTTCTTGTAAAGCCACAACTCTCCTTGGCATCTGTATGGCCTTGCTCCTTACCCTTACCCCTCCGGGCCCAGGGTAGTGACAACTGTCACCATGACTGGTCTCCGGGCACCTTGCCATCCTTTATTGGTTCTCTTGAGTCTCCCCACAGCTTTGTGAACAGTCTCTTCCTTAAGTACCCCTTTGATGTGCCCTCTGATTTCCAACAGAATCCTGACTGACATCCATGGATGTGTGATGTTGACATGCCGAGGGACCACAAAACATCTCCAGGAGTCAGGATTTGGTTCCCTGTGGCTGGGAGGGGTTGGTGTGTGCAGGGTATGTGGGCTCAGTATATACTGTGAGCTCAAATCCCTGAAGCAGAAGGAGGAGAAAGCGGAAGGAGGATAGGCAACCATAGTTCAGATCACACAAGAAGTTATCACTTTAGACGTAAGACAGCCCTGAGTATTTGAACACTTAAAACAAACATTTTTTATTTTTATTTTTCAGAACTGGTAATTGCCAAGTTGGCAAATTGTCATATGAGAAATTGGCTCACCGTGACTTGATGATGCAGCCAGTTGATCCTTTGCCAAACTGGGTTGTTGCACAAATTCCACTTGGAGGATTAGTTGGCTCCTCTGAAGGCCTGATGGTCCTGCCCCAGGGGCTGGACTTGATCTTCTGTCTCAGGACAGGTGCCTGTGTTCAAGGGCTGCTCTGCTGGGGTGCAGGGTGAGCCAGGCCTCTTCTAAGATGGGATGGTTCCCAGCTGAGTCATCTTCAACTCATCCAGGCAGTAATGTTCCCTGCGGGAGTCACTGGAGCCCAGCCCCTCACATCTGGATCCATCCCTGGTTAGGAGGGTCTTGGGCTGTCTTGGGTTTCTTTGCCTGGAAAGAAGACCACCCTCAGTGATCCACAGGCGGGGCTGAGAGAACAGGAAGCTGGTCACAGCAGGAGCTGGAAGGCCAAAGGGGATCGCCCTGGGCCAGAGCACCAAGGTCAGGGGTCCCCTCATCTGGTCCTAGGCAGCTTGGCGAGGCCCCTCGCTTTCCCCTTGCTGGGCATTTGGGATCTTTGTCTGGACCCAGTCTTGCCCAGAGATCTGGGGCCACAATATGTTGTCACTGGAGCCAGGATGCTCCTCCCAGGGCAGTACAGCAGGGGAGGAGGGGCAGGGGCTCACCGGCAGGGAGGGTGATGTGGTAAGGGCAACAGTAGCCAACAGTGGAAGAAAAGCATATCCAGAGGCTGTACTGGGTGGGGCTCTGGACTGGCCCTGGGACCGGAGTCCTGCGGAAGGACTGAGTCCTAGCAAGGACCTATTGAGGGGCTAGTGAGCTCCAGAGGAGAGGGAGAACAGTATCCCAGGATGGGAACTGGTGTGGAGGGGTCTGTGGGGTCTGGAATCTGTCCCGGAAACACTGGATGACACCACCATCCTGTCAGGGGAACAAGCACGGCGAGGGACCCTGTGGGGCTGGGGGACACACACCACCTCAGAGGAAATAGGGAAAGAGCTCTGCTGGGTCCAGGGAGATCTCTGTGGGTCTCTCAGCCCAACTCCCCCCAACTGTGTCCCCAAAGTTCCCCACCCTTGGCAGCACTACCCTGAGCAGAAGACTCTGGAATTCGCCTGTGCTGAGGGGAGAACAGTCTTCTGGACCTGCTTAAGCTCCAGAGCCCCTCACTTCACAGCCTCTTCTGAGTCCACAGGGTCACACATAGCCATCTGTAATAGTTGCAAGAGTAGTATTATTGTGTTCTTTCTCTCAAAGACGGTTTAATACCCGACCACTCCTGCCAGTGGAGAATGGTGTGTGTGGCCCTGTGACCCAGAGTTTCTGCTGCCACAGCACCCACTGCCTGCCCCCCCGCCCCCCGCCATGGGGGCCGGCCACAGCTTGGGGCTTCCTAATACCAATCAGGAATGTGGGAGGGCCTCAGCCCCGTAGGACCCAGGCGGTGAGGGCCTGGAGTCGGGTAAACACTAATTAGGGTTCACCACACCCTCCTGGGCATCTGTACAGGCTGAGAGAACAGGCATGGGGGCAGGCAGCCTCAGACTCCTGCCCCTGGCCTGGATGGCATGAACAAGGACTTGGGAGGACTTCTTCCATGACTTCTGGCCACTGGGGTCATAGTCCCCGGCCCTCTGCCCCCCCTACTGGTCGGTCAGGGCTCACTCCCGAACAGCCCCTCTCTAGCACAATCAGTGACAAGAGGGAGGGAACAGAAGTTTACCAAGAACTTGCACACATGATCCCTCTATCAGTGACATGGCCAGGAAGGCATGGCTGTCCCCATTTTATAGATGAGGAAACTGAGGCTCAAGTTTGGGCTGGTGAGTAAGGGAAGCGGCATGTGACATGTGGCTTGAGGCATCACTCTTCAACCTGAGTAACTAGGGAGGCAGCCTGGCCCCTTAAGCATGTGATGCATCAGGGGCCTGTAGAGTGGCTTTCTGGGAATCCTGGCCAGGGCCAGATGTACCTCCCCTACTGGTGCTGGGGTCCTCCATCTATTCCTCTAGGACCTCCTGGGGGACACTGCTGGCCTCACAGGACCTCTCCGAGAAGCCAGGCCCCGAGGTGCAGGGGTGCTGGGCTCTCTCCTGTGCTGCCTGCCCCTGAATGGGGCTGCGCAGGGGTTCAGGTGCTCCTGTGAGTGAGAAGCAGCTGACTGCAAGCCAGGATGACTGGGTTTCCGGTTAACGCTATGTCCTCCGTAGGCTAGGTACCACCATGAAGCCCCCTTCCCCCGCCCCTCAAATTTCCAATGAAAGCTGCAGAGACACTGCAGAGCTGAAGTCTTTGGGAATGGGGAGGTCAGTGGTGCCCATTCCACTTGTGTCCCTGGCCTGAGGGACCGTCCGGGTCCCCAGGCCCACAGACCCCCAAGCCCCTGACTAGGGCACCCTGAGGATCCTGGATAGCAGGCTGGAAGTCCTAGGCCCTGTCTGGATACACAGCAGTGCCCAGGCTATGGGGAGCTTGAAGCCCAGGGGACTGGAAGGGCTGCTGTCCCCAAGGGCCTGTCATCTCCCAGGGCAGTCAGGCCTCCTTTCCAGGCTCAGCCCTGCTCCTGTCCCTGCCCCTCAGAGGGTCCCCGAGTACTGGGTGTCAGGGTCTCATACTGCCAGAGGGGCAGGGCTGCAGTCACGGCACTGGGGCAGCCCCACCCAGCCTCGTCTTCCTGCCGCCGCCTGCGCTGACTCACCACCTGATCTCCTACCTGGCTGGGGCGGGGGCTCCTGCCCCAGAGCCCAGGCAGGCATCAGAGGCATCTATAAAAGCACGCTGATCCAGACCGCAGCATCCTGCTTGGTTTGCCACTTGTCACCGCACAATGCTGGGAGGTCTGGGGAAACTTGCTGCTGAGGGCCTGGCCCACCGCACTGAGAAGGCCACTGAGGAAGCTGGTAAGGACCCAGAGGCTCCTTTCCACCTGGCCCTTCTCCCTAGGCTGGGGGGGGGGGGAGGTGGGGGAGGTGGGGACAGACTCGATGGGGCCTGTTGGAAGCTGATCTCAGCAGATTGGGGGCAGGCCTTGGCCCCTTGAGGAACCCATCAATCCCACAAGGACAGAAAGGAAGTGAGGGGTGTGGAAGCTGAAGAGGGCAGCTTGGGTGGAGTCATGAGGGGTCCATTGCCCCCAAACAGGCCTCCCTCGGTTGGACCCATTTCTGGGGTCTGTGAGGCAGGAGGGACACAGCTCAGAGGAGGTCCCTGGGAGCAAAAAGGGAGCCCAGGTGCTGGGTGAGCCTCCAGTGGCTAGAATCCTCCCCTCTGGAAACCCGGGAGTCCTTCCATATCAAAGCAGCCTGTTTTGAATGTCCTATACAGAAACAAGGAAATGGGTTTTTATTTTTAGCATCACTTTAATGCCTCAAAGATTTCTTTACTAAGAAACCACCAAGTCTGATTCCGTTCAAAGTCAGCCCCCTGGGTTTATACAAAGGACGTTTTCAATTTCTTCAAAGTCCCCAGAAACCCTTTTCTTAAATAAAGATTTTATTTTATATATTTTAAATGTTTATTTATTTTGAGAGAAAGAGAGAGTGCAGGGGAGGGGCAGAGAGAGAAGGAGACAGAGAATCCCAAGCAGGCTCTGCACTGTCAGCACAGAACCCAACATGGAGCCCGAACTCGTGAACCTGTGACGAAATCAAGAGTCAGATGCTTAAACGACTGAGCCTGCCCAGTCACCCCTGAAGACTTTATTTTTAAGTAATCTCTACACCCAGCATGGGGCTCGAACTCATGACTCCAAGATCAAGAGTCACATGCTCTTCTGACTGAGCCAGCCAGGTGCCCCAAAACCCTTTTGGTGTGTATGCCCCAGCAACTCTGTGCGGGAGGTTAGTCCTGCCGTTTTGTGAAAAACAACTGGTGTCCGCGTTGGCTGTTCGGGTTCTGCATGGCCGCAAACATGTCTGTATTTCGTATGTTAGCTCTGCAGCTGGGGTTGACCTCTCTCTTGCATATCTCGCTGGCCCCGAGTTCGGCATCATCCCCACTCCACAGATCAGGGAACCAAGTGTGCAGAGTGGAGGTAAAATCAGAAGCCGTTCTTCTGACTCCAAAATCTTCCAGTTCTAGCAACTGCCGCACGAACTTTAGACAACTCCGAAGTGGTGGGAGAGTTCCTCCTGTTGGAGGAATTGCTCTGGGGGGTCAGGTTTGGCTGGAGGAGACCTCGGGATCTGGCATCCCCAGTGGAGCTGTGGTGGGACAGCAGCTCACCTGAGAGGTGCGGTGACGTGGGAGACGAGCCCCGCCTTGGCCTCAGGGGCCCCATTGGCACCAGGGCCTGCTCATCTGCATTCCAGGCCTTGCCAGGCCAAGGGGGCACGGAGGGCCCTGTGCTCTCGTCTGACTGCCTAGGTTTGTCTTCTGGCAGCCAGGCCCGCTGGAGTCTCTGAATTAAGGCAGCTGAGGGTTCTGCTCGTGAGCTGCCTGGTCTCACAGGGAGGTTGGGGGGGGGGGGGGCGGCATCCAGGACATCCAGATGTCCTGGGCTCCGCCTTGAGGAGAAGCTGGCTTGCACTGCGCTCACTCTGGGCTTCTCATCTTTTTAGTTCATGCCGTTGAGGAGGTGGTGAAGGAGGTGGTGGAACACGCCAAGGAGGCCGGAGAGAAAGGTATCATTGAGGCTGGGGCCAGGGGAGGAGGGAAGGAGGGAAGCTAGATGCTGGGAGCAACCCATTCTTTGCCTAACCCGGTCAAACCCTGACCTTGATGTTGCATCCTTTCAGTTGGTATGCAATTATCGACGCTCATCTGCGGCCACAGACTGTACTTTGCTAATAAAACAAGATCCATCCAGACAGTCCTTTCCGTGGGATGTTAAGGAGACGGGGTCACAAAAGACTATGTGGCAGCACGCTCTGACAAAACATTTCAGACAGGAGATTGTGTGTTTACATGTATATTTGCATAAATGTTTATGTGTGTGTGCTGTAGTATAACTAAAAGTGCCTCATTCCTTACAACATGATAGGTTCCAGATGGATCCAGGGCTCACGTATTAGATACATGAAATCGTTAAACTGTTAGAAGAGAAGGTGGTGGATTGGGGATAATACGGGAGAGGAGAGGATCTTTTTAACTGTGACGGAAAACCCGACAGCCACATAGGAAATATTAGATAGACCTGGCAATATAAAACTTGCAAATTTTCCATAATAAAAAAAAATGCGATAAGCCAAGCCAGGAGAAAAACCACAAAGGGAGGAAAAACATTTGTAAATAGAAACGATGGACCAATATAAAAACGACAGAAGACACAAGCAGGCAGTTGACAGAGAAAAGAGGTCTGAGTAGGCAGCGCGCCCTTGGGAGGAGCAGGTGCCGCCTCAGAATTGGGGAAACGCGAGTTGTGGAGGGAACCGAAACCACGTTTGAATGCGTTCCTCCGGGAGCCCCGCTGCCCTCTGTCCCATCGGGGCAGAATCCAGCAAGGCCAGGCCTCCATCCAGTAAGACCGCCGCATCCCCGCAGGCCACTCCAGCTGACGCGGGCCCTGCTAGCTGGAAATGTTTACTTTGCTCAACGGACGTTATTCCTCTTTCTTCCTGACAGCCATTGGCGAAGCCTTAAAGAAGGCCCATGAGGCAGGGGACAAAGCGGTGAAGGAAGTCACTGAGACGGTGACCAACACAGTCACAAGCGCTGTCACCCATGCAGCGGAAGGCCTGGGCAAGCTGGGACAGTGAGCGCACCCACTTCCAGCGGACTCTTCCCGAATCTCAATAAAAAGCTGTGAAATGTGTGCACTGCGCCCTGGGTTTATTCCTGTTTGGACGGCAACGTTGCCTATGTCCCAAGTGTCTGCAGGGGCAGGGGGCCGGCATGTGCACCTTCTGAGGGGCAGTAGGTCCCCATGATTGATCAGCTGTGCTGCTCTCACACTGAGATTTCTCACATCAGCAAGGAGCTCTTGAAGAATTGTTAGGGTCTGTGCTATACTTCTTCAGGGATCATTTCCTCAGACACTATATATAGCTTTCAGACACCTCAGCGCGTGTCCTCACCTTCAGGACATCCCAAGGGAGGAACAGAATTCAGCTCACACGTGCTTTGGGTTTTCCCAAAGAAATCCTTAGAGGATTCAGGGAAGACAATAGACTAACCTGATTGCGAGTTTAGCCGGGCAGGCTCAGACATTTTGAGATGCTTCACGTTCTGAAAGAGACTATGGAGATGTGTTTCTGCCGGACAGTCACAGAATCAGGTCAAGTAGTAACTGAGTCCTCCGCTTATTGGCTGCTGAAGCCGCTGTTTGGATCTTTCCCCGGAGACTGGTCAGGCCTGAATAGTGGCAGCGACCAAGAATGCTGACCTGGCCTTCTTCCCGCCATGAGTGGTCAGCACCCTAAAGGTTAAACGTGTGTGTAAGCAGCATTTAGCTTCACAGTTGGGATTTAAAAAAGGAAATGATTTGTAAAGAAAAGGCATTGCTGATTTCTCTTGCCAGAAGTTACTCGTTCTTAGCAGAAATGAGGAGAAAAGGTGTTTTAAGGAGGATATCACTGGCTCGCCACATTTCTGGCTTTCTTTTGAGAATTGGCTTTACAAGTCTCTGAACAGCCCAGGAATATCCAATGTCCTGCCACTGTTCAGTTAGATCTGGATTCTATATCTTGGTTTGGTTCCTGAAGACTTTTTAATTCCCCCAGTCTAAACTCAAGCTCAAATCAATGGAAGCACTGTGGGTGGCAGTGTCAGCTGGGACAGTCTTTGGACAGCAGTTCCTCTTACCAGACCTTAGTCTTCAGGTGTGCACAGGTGCATACCGATGCCTAGACGGTGAACACACAGCTTCTTTGCAGCCTGTATGTAATAGTAAGAGCTGGAAACACCCTAACATGCCAGTCGGAAATCACTTAAATGGCTGGGACATCTGGGTGGCTCTGCTGGTTAAACATCTGACTTCGGCTCAGGCCATGATCTGTCGGTCTGTGAGTTCGAGACCCGCGTCAGCCTCTGTGCTGACAGCTCAGAGCCTGGACCCTGCTTCGGATTCTGTGTCTGCCTCTCTCTCTGCCCCTCCCCGACTCATACGCTGTCCTCCGTCTCTCTCTCTCTCTCTCTCTCAAAAATAAACATTAAAAAAAATTTTAAAAATCACTTGGATGGCAAGTTTTGCTCTGCTTATTAGGTGCAATGCATAATATAGAGTTGACACCTCTTACTTCTAGTGGACTGTAATGACAGCTTTAAAATGGTACCTGGGCCTGGATGGCCACCAATAGGGCCTGGTTAACAATTATTGCATGTATATATGAAATGGAATACCCTATAACTGTCAAGAATGACGAAAATGTGCATGTACCATATAGGAACATGTCCAAATAAGTTATAAGTTGTAAAATACATATGTAGAAAGAGTTAGTTTTTGTAAAGCAAACACATACTTGTGTAAGAATGGGGGAAAAAAAACTGGTAGTTTATATATAGCAAACATATTAACAGTGCTCATCTCTGTGTCCTTGGGAATATGAGGAATCTGCATTTTCTGCATTACATAGTTCCGTGATGCTTGAATTTAAGAGGAAAACCAACACAGATAGACTTTTAAATGTTGTCGAGGAGGCCTTGTACTAGCTTATTCAAGATCGTTTGCAGGTTAAGTGCTACTCAAAGTTTACTGGTTTGCAAACCTTGTTATTCCCACGTGGTGACAAGATAAGTGAAAAAACAGAGCATTCAGAAACTTTCCTAACAATGTGACATTGCCTGGACCTCCAGGAGTGTGATCAGGAGACAATTCTTGTTGAACAGGGTAGAGACCGGCTCTGGTTGTTGAACTTGCAAGGCAAGTTGTATGTGAACTAGTCACATGAAGTAGGACAACATACAATGATGAATTAGATTAATAAACAAATTTGTCCTTCACTACAGAGTTGGAGAAGCGCTCCCTATGTTCCCTTAACATCACCTTGCAGTGTGCTGTTCTAGAATAAGTCCTTCCATCCTTCACTTTCTCTTTACTGTGTGTGTTGTGCAGTGAGGGTATGACATCAGCCTCAGACAAACTCTAAATGTGCTATAAAAAGCAACAGTGGGGGCGCCTGGGTGGCTCAGTCGGTTGGGCGTCCGACTTCAGCTCAGGTCATGATCTCACGGTCCGTGAGTTCGAGCCCCGCGTCGGGCTCTGGGCTGATGGCTCGGAGCCTGGAGCCTCCTTCTGATTCTGTGTCTCCCTCTCTCTCTGCCCCTCCCCCGTTCATGCTCTGTCTCTCTCGGTCTCAAAAATAAACGTTAAAAAAAAAAATAAAAAAAAAAAAGCAACAGTGACGTCTGAGAAACCGGTGGAGCAGGGACCTCCAAAAATTCCCTCCTCCATAAAAATAATGAGAAAACTGGCAAAAATATAGTCAGAATATTTTTCAGAATACTTTTATTTTTAAAAAATTTACACCCATATTAGTTTGCATATAGGGCAACAATGATTTCAGAAGTAGATTCCTTAGTGCCTCTTACCCATTTAGCCCATCCCCCCTCCAGTAACCTCTGTTTGTTCTCCATATTTATGAGTCTCTTCTGTTTTGTCCCCCTCCCTGTTTTTATTTTTGTTTCCCTTCCCTTATGTTCATCTGTTTTGTCTATTAAAGTCCTCATATAAGTGAAGTCATATGATTTTTGTCTTTCTCTAATTTCACTTAGCATAATACCCTCCAGTTCCATCCACGTAGTTGCAAATGGCAAGATTTCATTCTTTTTGATTGCCGAGTAATACTCCATTGTACATATACATCACATCTTCTTTATGAATTCATCCATTGATGGACATTTGGGCTCTTTCCATACTTTGGCTATTGTGGATAGTGCTGCTATAAACATGGGGGTGCATGTGCCCCTTCAAAACAGCACACCTGTATCCTGTGGATAAATACCTAGTAGTGCAACTGCTGGACCATAGGGTAGTTCTATTTTTATTTTTTTGAGGAACCTCCATACTGTTTTCCAGAGTGGCTGCACCAGCTTGCATTCCCGTCAACTTTTTCAGAATTCTTAACCAAAGGCTTACAGCCATCCAGGGATCATTTACGTAGAACAGATTCAATAAACAAAATCTTGTTAAGAATGGCAAGCTTTGTGATGTTTTTAGCTTACCCTATTCTGTGCCACCCATGCCCCGCCCCCACCTTTTCCAGCTCCATGGTAGCCTTGAAAACCAACAGCCTGGCAGTTACTGGAAAGCACTGAACAGAGTTGGAGTTCCTTCAAAGCCTCATTGACAGAGAACTGTGATTATTTCACTTGACTGGTGGTTCCTAGGAAGACCCAATTGCAAGGCTGCCTCTATTTGTCCAGACTAGGAGCTCACTTAATGTAAGCAGCCTTTTCCCTCGGGCTGTTTGTCATAGAACAGAGTCAATTTTTTAAGTTGGTGGGTGCTAAAGGTGGTACATAACAGTTTGGGAAAATAGGCTAAGCAAAAAGCTTAAAAGGAAAACCTGAGGAAAGAGATATCCATAGGGACTTTGAAAATTCCAACATGTTCCTGGGAATCTAGAAGTCCATGCACATGTGTAGGGCTGTGCGCATGCTCAGTAAAGACCGGAGAAGGCTCAAAGCTCTCACCTCTAAACAATCTTGAGGCTCTGTGCAAGCAGGTAGTGAAACCAAGGCAGAGATTTATAAACTGCCGAGCTGAGTGTTGGAGGTGAGGCCCAACCTGCACGAGTTCCCTGGCAAAGAAGGCAGACCTGTTGGTTCTAGGTACTTAAAGAAATCTGTGTGATCATTAGCTGACCACTAAGCTGAGTGGAAACTTCAACGGCAAAAAACAAAAACGAAAACAAAAACAGACTATAGAATTAATTTAGAAAAGTTTACTACACAAACGGTCAACAACAAAAAGCAACAAGCAATCTAGGGGGAAGGGCCTGGAATCCAACTTCAGAGTGGCCACAGTGTTTTATTTAATACATCTAGTTTTCTGGAAAAAAAAAAAAAGATTTGTAAGGAAAGACATTATGACCCATTTAAAGGGGGAAAAATGGAAACTGTGGCTGAGTAAGCCCCAATATTGGACCTACCAAAGACTTTATTTTTTAAAGTTTATTTATTTATATAATTTTTAAAACAAGTTGATTTACTTCTTTTGAGAGAGTGAGACCTGAGGAGGGGCAGAGAGACAGGGAGAGAGAGAGAATCCCATGTAGGCTCTGTGCAGTCATCACAGAGCCCAGTGTGAGGTTTGAACCCACAAATCGTGCTATCATGACCTGAGCCGAAATCAAGAGTCAGATGCTTAACCAACCGAGCCACCCAGGCGCCCCATTACCAAAGACTTTAAATCAGTTATTCTAAACATGTTCAAAGAGCTAAAGGAAACCACATTTACAGAATTAAAGTGTAAGATCAACACCAGATAGAGAATACAAACAAAGGGATAGAAATTATCGAAAATAACGGAATAGAGATCCTAGAGTTGAAAGCACAACTGAAAGAAAACATTCATTCGAGGGCCCAATATCAGATGTGAGCAGACATATGATAGATTCCACGAACTTGAAGATACCTTGAGATTATCCAACCTGAAGAACAGAAAGCAAAACAAATGAACCAAAAAAGATGAAGAGACTCAGAGACGTGGGTCACTGTCAAGAATGCCCCCTTATGCACAATGGGAGTACCAGAGGGAGAGGAAAGGCAGGAAGAGTATTTGAAGAGATAATGGTTGAAAACAAATTTGATGAAAATTTAACTAACCTAGACTTCCAAGGAGGAAGACTCAAATAGATATCACCTAGGCATGTCCTAATCAAACTGTTCAAATCCAGAGACAAAGAGAGACTCTTGAAACAGAAAAAGAAGTCATCACAGAAAAGGGAGGTTCAATGAGATTAACAGGTGACTTCTCATCAAAAACCAGGGGTCAGAGGCAATAGGGTAACCTATTCGAAGCGCTGAGAGACGTCAACCAGGAGTTCTAATATCCAGCAACCACAGCCTTTTCACCTCACATTGGCACAGTCCCCTTAACCCATAGGACCACCACTCCATGCTGCTGACCCTGCTGTCATCAGGGGAGACCTGGCAGACCCAGGCCTCGACCTGTCCCCCAGCTTCAAAAGGTCCACACAGCCCCGGGTTCCTGCAACTCCCTGAGCACAGTGGTCTGTGCTCACACTTGGTACTCCAGGCTTCCCAGGGGAGGGTGTGCTTAGAGCAGGACCCACTGCTGCTCCCCCCCAACAGGATACTTGCTGTGAACATGTGTCCTCAGAAACTTTGGCCAACTTGCAACTAGACTCCCTGGATGCTTCCTGAGGTTCAATGCTGAGTGGGTTTTTTTTTTTTTTTTTTGGTAGTCCTTCACTAATTTTTAATTTAAGTGAATTTTATATAATGCACAATTAAATGTTTTAGAGTATAGTCCAGTGGCATTTAGCACATTCACAATGTTATACAACTATCACTCTTAAGGTCTTTTTTTTAAGTTTATTTACTTAAAAAATTTTTTTTTTTAATTTTTTTTTTGAGAGACAGAGAGAGAGCAGAGGAGGGGCAGAGAGAGAGGGAGATATAGAATCTGAAGTAGGATCCAGGCTCTGAGCTATCAGCACAGAGCCTGACGTGGGGCTCGAGATCACAGACAGTGAGATCATGACCTGAGCCGAAGTCGGATGCTTAACTGACTGAGCCACCCAGGCGCCCCTTAAGTTTATTTGAGAGAGACAGAGAGTGCAAGAGAGAGAAGGGACAAGTGGAGGAGGGGCAGAGAGGGAGAGAGAGAACCCCAAGCAGGCTCTGTGCTGTGCTGAGCCCGACGTGGGGCTCAATCCCACAACCACAAGATGGTGACCTGAGCTGAAATCAAGAGTTGAAGGTTAACCGACTCTGCCACCCAGGTGCCCCGTCACTCCTAGTTTTAAAACTTTGTTATCACCTCAGAAAAACACCCTCTACCCATTAAGTAATCACTCCTGACCATCCCCATCCGTCCCCCCAGGCCCTGGCAATCACAAATCTGCTTTCCGTATCTATGGATTTCTCTATTCTGGATATGGCACATAACTGGACTTATATAGCATGTGACCTTCTGCATCTGGCTTCATTCATATTCCACTGCATGTAGATACCACTTTGGTTTTCACCAGCATGATGGGAGCTGTGGGTTTTTGCAAATGCCTGTGTCATGTTTAGAAGTTCCTTCTGTTCCTAGCTGGTTGTTTTCTTACGAGGTCTTGAATCCTGTCAAACGCTTTTCCCACATCTATTGAGATGACTAGGTGTTTTTTCTTTCCCTTTATTCTTTTAATGGAGCGTAACGTGACGGTGATGGATCTTCTTATGTTGCACCACCCTTGCATTCCTGAGAAGTCCTACCTGGTCATGATGTGTAACACACCTGTAATGAACTGTTGGATTCAGTTTGTTAGTATTTTGCTGAGTATTTTTGTGTCCGCATTCATAAGGGATACTGGTGTGGTTTTCTTTTTCCTGTGATGTCTTTGTCCGGCTTTGGTATCAGAATAATGCTGGCCTCCTAGGAGGTGTTAGGAGGTGTTTCTTCATCTTCTATTTCTTTGGAAGAGTTTGAAAAGGATTTGTGTTAATTCTTCAAACATTTGTTATTATTCATCAGACCTGTGTAACCTTGGATTGGGCAATGGTGTCTTAGCTGTAACATCGAAAGCATAGCAACCAAAGAAAAAATAAAATGGGACTCTGTCAAAAAAACACAAAACAGCGACACCTGGGTTGCTTGGTCAGTTGAGCACCTGACTCTGGATTTCAACTCAGGTTGTGATCCTAGGATCTTGGGATCAAGCCCCGCATCAGGCTCCATGATGAGTGTGGAGCCTGCTTGAGTTTCTCTCTCTCTGCTCCTCTCCCCAGTTTGCTCTCCGCTCTCTAAATTCCCCCCCACCGCCAAAAAACCACAAAAACTTTTGTGTTAAAGGGTACCATCAAAAAACTGAAAAGACATACCAACAGAATAAAATAGTTACAAATCATATATCTGATAAGGGTCACATATCCAGAAAATATAAAGAACTCTTACAAACCAACAACAAAAAATATAATTATATAAAAATGATATAATATATATTATATAATAAATTATATTATAAAAATATAATTAGGGGAGCTTGGGTAGCTCAGTTGTTTAAGTGTCTGACTTGGCTCAGGTCATGATGTCACAGTTCGTGGGTTTGAGCCCCGCATTGGGCTCTGTGCTGACATCTCAGAGCCTGGAGCCTGCTTCAGATTCTGTCTCCCTCTCTCTCCCTGCTCCTCCCCCAATCACACTCTGTCTCTAAGATAAATAAACATTAAAAAAAAATAACCCAATTAAAAAATGAGCAAAGGATTTAAATACAATGAAAACGAAACATTTAAAGTTGCTGAAAGTGGTTGCTTGTGGGGCGTAGAGAATGGTGAGGTGGGGTGTACAGATGGGAGGGATAAGCTGTTGTTCACGGTAAGACTTGTAGAACTACTTGGCTCTCTATACCGGTAATTCTCACCAGGCACCCCTCAGGGGACATTTGGCAATGTGAATACATTTTTGATTGTCCCATCTGAGAGATGCTATCGGCATCTAATAGGCAGAGGCCAGGGGTGCTGCCAAGCACCCTACAAAGCACAGGGCAGCCCCCAAAACAAAGAACTACCTGGCCCCAAACGTCAATAGTGTTGAGGTTAAGAAACTGTCTAAACCACTGTGGAAGCTTTGATTAAAAAACAAAGAAGCCAATAAAAGTTATTTGTGAAAAAAAAAAAAACAAATCAGAACGCCCATATTACAAAGAAAAAAAATTAAAGAAAATTCTTTTGCAGGGGTCTCTGTGCCAGCTTCACAGATGTAGTTTTCTTCACGTGCCATGTTTTGACTGTTTTAATGTGTAGCACGGCTAAGAAGGTCTACCAGAGATGTTTAGGGATCGATGAATTTACCTAAAGCCTGCGAGTTAAGATGCTAAGGTTTTTTCTTTTTTTTTTTAAAGTAAATCACCAATTCTAGTAATTGAGCTGCCAGAAGCACTGCTTAAAACAACAACAACAACAACAACAACACCCAAAAGCCAAGCTTTTGTGTCTCATTTCCCTATCAGGGTAATTAAACACATTCTGGGGCAGAGGTTCGTGAGGCAGCATTCTTCAAGCGTAACACAGGCTGTCAATGGCTCTTTCAGAAGCAATTTAACTTTAGAGTATTATATGTTAAGTTTTTGAAAGAATTATAAACGTAAATAAACTAGAAAATTTCAGTGAAGCTGAAAGACTAATTGACCAGAATTTTCAAACTCAAATCCCCAGAAACCAAGGCTGACACCAGCACCGTGTTGTCTTTATATAGCCAGCAAGCACAATACCGGTTTTCCCACACGAATCTTGGTAACACATCGATGTGTATCTAATCTTTAAAAAACCACTTATAAATCAGTCCTAATGTTAGCCACAGGCCACAGCGAAGACTTACTTGTCATCCCTCTTGCACATGACCTGATTTGACTGCCCCGCCCGGTTCCAAATATGCTGGGACTTGTTTGCCTATCGCTCTGCAACCCCACATGTTAGAGCTCCACCCAGAGTGCAAGTAGACAGACCAGCTGGGGAAGGGCTCACTGTGTCCACGGTGCCCAGGGGGCTTGTTCATCCACTGCCCGACTCAGAACCGCAGAGATGTTCTGGACAGAATCAGGACAAAACAGAGTCCAGCTGTAAGTTTCAGATTTGGCAGCTAAGTTACTGGCAGAGTCGGGTCTAGGATCCAGTTCTGCTGACCACGGTTAGTATTCTGTCTTAAGTTGTTACATTCTGTGGCTAAATTATTAAAAACAAAAACCCCAATCGATGAAAATGTCCTTCATTAAAAAGAGACACTAAGAATTACTTCAGTATATCAGCTTTGAGCACTAAAACCTCTTCCAAGAATAGCCATTGATACTATTTAACAGAATGAAACACAAAAGAATTCACTAATAAAATCTGGGCAGCTCATAATGTAGTGGAAAGAAGTGTTATATAGGTGGTTGTTGCAAAAGTCCTTAGAAACCCAACTGTAGTTTTATTATTTACTAAAAGAGATACTATCAAATATAAAAACACAGAAGAGAAACATAAGCTTTGGAAAAGGTAGACTTTTAATAACTGCTTTTATCACCAGGTTAAGTCATGCAGTTACAAAGTAGTTAGAAATTTCTGAAAGGATATTGTCGTTTAAAAAAAAAAAAAGCTCATTCTTACATAAATAATATCTAGTACTTCATTGGGACACTACTGTTCAAAAGGCCTTGGCGAAATAACCCCCAAACAAAACACTCAACCCAAGGTTGTTTTCAGCCCACTGGTAATGAAGCTGTGTGCAGAATACAGGCCTCTAACAGAGGACACAAAGTCAGGGCGAGTCGGGGCCATTGGCACGGCTCAGAGTCGCCAGCAAGACTCCAAAGTGGGAGCCCAAGTGGTATTTTTTCTGGGACGCTCAACTTGAATTATTGTTCAATTAGACAACACAGTAGATCTTCAACAGAGAACAATTAATTAACATGATAAGGAGGTTACTGCACTCTTTGGACTATATGTCGTAATTGTGGTTAGTGAATTCTGACAGTCTTAACAAAAATAGCCTCCATCATTTGCAGTTATGAAGATAACTTAATTCTCCATCAGGCCTTTTATTTTTGCTGGACAATACATGATTGATAAGCTATAAATGATACTGTTTATGTTATAAAAATACTAGCTTTTTCATTTATTATGTTTATAGGCATTCACTGCTTGAGTCAAGGTTAGGCTTATTAAGTGATTAAAGGCAATTTTATTACAGCAGCACATACTTATTTTATTCTAAAAGAATAAAATGCATAAAGAGAAATAGCTTTTATTTTTGTTGCAATCTGTAAAATTGAGTTATTTTGCTGATGTAAAAATACCAGTAACTCACTTGAGGACCATGCCACCTTCTGAAAATGCCACACACCTGCTACTTGGATGTGTCAAAGTTACAGCACGTCTCAGACTTGTCCAGAGCTGAAGTAATAAGCAACTGACTGCTCTTGGATGACAGGTGCTTTCCTGGCCACAGCTCTGGCTGTACTGGGAAGCAGCCGCGGAGCAAGGCGGTATAGCCGGATGGAAGGGACTTTTCATTTAAAGGCAAAATACCCAAATCGCTCTCTGGCTTAGGTAATTTCTATGTTCATATTCATCAGCTTGTACATGATCCCCTAACCTTAATTTCTTTTTTCTCAAAGGGCCTGATTTGGACTGACTTGTTGAGAATGATGTCCATTATCTATTAAGTCGAGAGAAAGAGAGAGAGAGAGAGACAGATTCCTGTGGTTACATGTAAACTTGTGAAGGGCCTGCAGATGAAGAGGGAAGAGGGCAGTGAAGAGGTCAGCCACACTCCATCTAGGTGAAGGTCACACCGGCTTCATTGTATACTTTGAAGACTTTCTCAATGGCGTTGACATAGGCAGCCGTTCTCAGGTCTAACCCCAGGTTATACTTCATAGCCGTGCGCATGATTTGCTGAAAGGCAGGAGAAAACACGGTGAAGTGTGCATGCGGGGCACAGGCGGGCCCGGTGCGAGGAGCCTCGGCCACCACGGCAGCGTAGGACTTAGGCACAAAACCCGTCAGGAAGGACCTGTTCTCTGCAACCAAAGTATGCCACTGACTAGGCAGCAGTAAGGAGCTGCTCTTTAGATGTGAGCTGTCTCCGGCCTTTAGACGCCCTGTTATCTGGAGTAAGCTCCTTGTTAGACTTGGTGATAATTTTATAAAACTCAGAATGGGGTGCTGAAAATGTGCTGGAGCTTTGTGAATATGCTTAAGGTTTTGGACCGTATACTTTAAAAGGGTGAATTTACGGTATATCAGTTGTATTGACAACAAATTGTTGTAACAAATTAACAACGAGCAACATCATCAATGGCTGCTTATGCTATTTCAACTTAAGGGTGGGTGGACAGAGTTTGAACTCAAGAAGAAATGAGGGAAACGCATCAAAGTGCGTTTAAGGTCTTGAAATAAGGAGCAAGGGGTCAAAAAACCTTTTGTTTATACCAAATTCTCCAGTGAGGTAGTTTCCTGTAGCGATAATAGAGTGGTGTACTCAACTGCAATCCAGTTTGGCTGACTGTGTGATGTCTAGCTAAAGCTAACTGCCGAACACCATTCCCGCCTAACCTGGTATTACCATTTATTTCCCAAAGCCCGGCAGACATACTGAACACCCTGAAAACACTGCCCGTCATTTAAGACTGAACAAGCATGCATTTTGCTACACACGAATGAAGAACGTGTAAACAGACTGCTGTCTTCGACCACAGCACACACAATCTGGCAGCTGAGGTGACACGGTTGAGCTGTGCTGCAGGTCACCAGCAGAAAGGCAAACAGCATTGCACACGTACCCTGGCAGAACGCTCCATAGTGTAAGCTAAGCCAGAGTGCACGATGTCTTTCTCGGATGCCCCCTGTTAGGGAAAAGACCAGAAGTTTAACAAAACCACACAAAGACACGCTTCAATTGTAAGAGCACAAGGGATTCTCAAGTCAATACACCGCCAGACAGAATTGTTTTGTCTTTTGGCAAAGATGCATTTAATTTCCATACAGTATCTTGATAGCTAAATAGTTGTGCTTTAACCCCAGTTTAGTTTTCATTGCATTTGACGGTGAACAGATACTCCTGAAATAAGATCATGGTAAAATGAACGTACACAGAAAAGTACGCACAAGAAACAGGAGGGCAAGTAGTGAGGCCAGCACTGGTCACCCACCCGATTCACAGATGCCCACAGCAACAAGTGTTCATCTCCGCTTCCCAGCTAACAGGGACACCGCACAAGGCACAGAAAGGAGTGTGGCCCCCTCCAACAGGTGCTCTGTGGCAGAAACCCGGCTGTGTACTCAGGAGTGCTCATCTCGTTCCAATGCCAATTATTTCTGTAAGTCAATTTGTATCAATGGATTCCTCTAAGTATCTAATTTGTTTTTTGGAACGCTTTCTAAAATTTTAGGACGGGGAGCCTGGGTAGCTCAGTTGGTCAAGCGTCTGACTTTTGATTTTGGCTCAGGTCACACATCTCATAGTTCCTGAGATTGAACCCCGCATTGGGCTCTGTGCTGACAGAGTGGGGCCTGCTTGGGATTCTCTCTCTCTGTTCCTCCTCTGCTTGTGCACAGGTGCACATGTGCACTCACTCTTTCTCTCTAAATAAATAAACAAACAAATTACAATACAATTTTAGGACAATTAACTACTGCCCCATTCCAGTATGTCCTACCTAGCTATCAAACATATATCCTGCTATGCGAGATGAAAACTTAAAAGTGGATCACCACCCAAACATGTGTACTCTGATCTTCACGTAGTTGGCACTCTGTATGCCAGGAGGTGTATTTCTATATACATTTGTATCTGTTAACAAACAGCTGGGTCAAACCTTGCTCTGTCCTACTAAGTTAGGAAGAAAAAACTTGTTCTACAGGTACAGTACTGCCTTTCTCTCCCTCATTCATTTACTCATCAAACATTTATGGAGTGGTTACTACGTGCCAGGCACTCTTCTAGGCACAGGGCACAAAGCAGAAAACAAATAATGAAAATTCTCTGCTCTCGTGGAGTTTATATTCTAGTCGGGGGAGGCAGCCTACACATGGGCCGAAAACCGGAAGTCTGGGTGAGATCACAAAGATTCTGAATTCAGACAGAGCAGTGATTCAGGGCCAGGGGCCTTCCCATGTTAAGAGTGTGGAGAGGTGGTGAGGATCACAGAAGGCAATGTGAGGGAAAGGCAGGAAGAAAATCAGTGAGGATGTGGGGTTCTGGAAGCCAGGAGACTAGCTTCAGGGGGGACGATCACTCGTGATAGCAGGTGCTGACAGAAGTAAGATGAGGGCAGAAAAGCGGTCACTGGATCTAGTGATGCTGGTGCTTGCACAAGACGAGTTGTGGCGGAGTGGCGGGCACCAGGGCATGTTTGAGCCTAGGAGAACTGGAGACGCAATGGACGCAACTCTTCAGGGTGTCTGCTGTGAGGGAAAGGGAAATGCACACGGCAAGAACAAAGTTTGGAAGAGAGCTGGGATTGAGATGCATTTTGTTTTAAGACCGCATTCGGCACGCTGATAGGAGTGACTGATGATGGAGGAGGGGGAGGATGCGCACTCGAGCAGTGCACCCGGGGAGCTGGGAATGGGCTTAGATGCAGGCACACGGAGTCGCTCTGTGACAGGAGACAGGGTGCAGGCGCCCGGAGTTGGGTGCTGGGAAGTTCTCTGACTGCTGTTTTCTCTGTGGGCAGATCCCAGGTCAGGTGCTGGAGTGCAGGGGACAGAGAAGAGGAGAACGTGTGATACAGCCAATCAGAAGAATGAGAAAGTGAAAGACCAGGAAAAAGTAGGATGACTGCCGGACAGCACCGGCTGCGCACTTAAGTTTCGTGGTCAGGATTACGGTGACAGGGCTGCAGGTGTGGAGGGAGCACGGTTGGGTTTCATGAGAGTCCGGGTGTCAGCAAGGGGTATGCTGAGCAAAACAAGCCGGAGTGACCGTAATGACGGAGTGTGGAATTCAGAGAACGGAGGACATCCCGGGGTGACGGGGGACAGTGAAAAGACGGTCAATAATGTGGGGCCTGGAAGGGCCAGAGCACGGCTGTGGAGGGGGAACTAGAGGGAAGGAGCTGGGGAAAAAACCCTGTTTTTTAAACTTACTACAAAACTCCTGCGACAAGTCATTCAGTAAGAGGTGAGACACAGGATTAAGGTCCGGAATTTGAAGCACTGAAAGGCCAGTGTCCTGGCAAAGGTTATTTTCAGAGAGCACAAACAGCAAGCCACTGGGCTGCCTCCCTAACTAACTGGCTGTCCTCCTCTGCACTCCTCCTCAGGTTTCGGCCTGAGCGACAGCTGCATGCCAGGCCTGGGCTGGGACACAGGCGACCACAGGGAGGAGCAAGAAGCCCATCTAGGGGTGGTGGCCATAGCAAGGGCTGCCTGGATACGTGTGGTGGAAGGATGTGTGCGATTCCGGCCCACAGCGGGATCCTCAGGGGCGGGCTACCTGAGCAGGAAGCGGGTCAGGGCACCGCAGACAGAGGGACCGCAGCTAACAGAGACATGGTCCGGGAAAGATGAAGGTTCATTTAGGGGAATGGTTAATACCCTGAGTGGCAAAAGCATCTTTTCTTCTGCAAAACAAAACCTTAACTTCCCCTGCTCCCCATGTTGTAATATAATCTTACATTACTTTCCATGACTGAACATTTCAGAAGATATATTACAACTTAGCCATTTCCCTGCCATGTATATGTAGACTATTAAACCTAATTAAAAAACCTGACTGCAAACACCGTTCCAACGACATCATCTTACATGGAGCCATTTCTCTCCTTTAGAATTATTTCCTTAGGATAAATTTGCAGGGGGGATGTTAGGATAGTGTCAACAGGCAGGAAAACTGTAATAGCTCTTCAAATTTCTAAAGAGCTGCACCAATCTGCCTTGTCATCAAAATAAAGGTACAACTGTTTCGCTACAGACATGGTGAGTCATGATCGATTGTTTTTGCTAGTTTAATACATTAAAGAAACCTTATTTTAATTTGTATTTCTTTAACAATGAGATTGAACACTTTCCTTTCTAGGCCTATTTCCTATGACTTTTCTCTTTTTTTAATGTTTTACTTTTATTTTAGAGAGAGAGAGAGGGAGAGAAAGAAGAAGAAGGAGGAGGAGGGAGAGGAGGGGGAGGAGGAGGAGGCGGAGGGAGACAAAGAATCCGAAGCAGGTTCCAGGCTGTCAGCACAGAGCCTGACATGGGCCTCGAACTCACAAACCGTGAGATCATGACCTGATCCGAAGTCAGACGCTTCACCGACTGAGACACCCAGGCGCCCCTGACTCTGCTTTTCAAGTCTCTGGCATTTACTGGGGAAGTTCCCTTCATGGCGTGTGAGCACTACCACTCAGTCCCGTCAACAGCTAATTCACACACACCTGCTTTCTTTCACTCTTACTCATGCCCACATAGCAATTTCAATTCTTCATATAGTTCAATTTAATGTTTACTTTGTTTTTATTTTAAGGATTTTCTTTTTTTTTTTAGAAGTTCATTTAATTATTTATTTTTAAGTAATCTCTACACCTAACGTGGGGCTCAGAGATCAAGAGTCCCATGTTCTTCTGACTGAGCCAGACAGGCGCCCCTAATGTTTACTTCTCTATTCTATTTCTCTGGAGCTGAAGAGATACATAGTAATTCTGCACAATTAGGTTAGAACCACCTGTTGAGTCATCTGTATTGCACAAGGATCAAGATTGGAAGAACCATTAAATATATTTATTTTAAACGAAATTTCTTACTCCACATTTGGAATGTAGCGAGAGAGGAGTGTACAAAGCACACACAGAGCCTATCATCACTGTCATATTGCTGACCACCCATAACCCCAATCAACTGGCCTGGGTCTAAAGTAAGAGCTGGCTGGGTGTGGAAAGTGTAATCCTGTCACAGCACACTCACCGATATCCTGTCTTGGAACTCTGCCGTGGGCACAACAGGAATAGTTCCACCATGCTTTCCAAATTTTCTTTCCAAACTTTCTTGAACAGACACTATAAAAAACCAAGATATGAAGTTAAGACATTGCTAGTAGGAAAAAAAAAAACAAAACTGAAGTATAACCAAAAGTAGTCTCAAACTATATCCACAACCCAAAAACGAATACAGAATTTAGAAACCTTCAACACTAATGACATAAAAGGGTTAATCATTTAAAACTCTGTTAAAAGGGAATAAAGCACTTTGCCAAATTCCTACATAAATGTGAATTTAGGTCACTGCTCTGTTTCCATAACACCCATTACCACGGTTTTTCCTTGGCTCTGTTAAAAAGAAAATGCTGAGGGAAAAAGAAACGGAAATCGATGGAACACTTCACCCAGATTCTCAGAGAGGGCTGAGTAAAGCTCGGTTGGAGGTCTTGGTCTTATTCCAGCTTGATGAGACTGGACCATTAACTCTGGAGCTACTCTCGTCAAGGAAAAACCACACTTGCATCAGAAGACTCCAAAAATTCTTGACGCTAGAAAGGCCTTTACTAGGAGCAACCAGAGACTGGAATGGATGAGTCTCACTAGGAGTTCCTGGCTTAAAAGGATACTCTTTATATTTATTAACTTATAGATGATGTTACAGAAACATTATATCACAGGGTAAACACCTGAATATAATTTTTGGTCCTAAGACTCATGAGAGAGAAGAATATCATTTTCTGTTCTGAGATTAAATTCTCTAGGATTACAAAAAGCGAACAGTCCTTTTCAAGTGTAAGCTAGTTCTAGCCTTTTAGCTGGCCCCAAAGATTGTTTTTGAACAAGGTCATCAGAACTCACTGAGCAAGTGGTAGTTAGAATCCCTTTCATATTTGAAGGTCAAACGGCCATAGCTGACGTGATTTAGATTCTTCAGCCACTCAAAGTAGGATACTGTCACTCCTCCGGCGTTCAAGTAGAGATCCTACACTCAAAAATGTGACAGGGAAGACACCAAAGAAATGAGAAGATCATGGCTTTACTGAAAGCTTTCAATGAACATCAGAGATCCATTTTAACATCAAAGCAGATTAAGCTTCAAACTTCCCAAATATATCTTAGATTGTATCAGGAATTTCACACTCAGGGGCACCTGGGTGACTCAATCGATTGAGTGTCTGACTTCGGCTCAGGTCATGATCTCACGGTTTGTGAGTTCAAGCCCTGCATCGGCTCGATACTGTCAGCCTGTCAGTGCAGAGTCCACTTCGGATCCTCTGTCCCCCACTCTCTGCCTCTCCCCTGCTTGCACTCTCCCCAAAATAAATAAATATATAAAAAAAAAAAGGAATTTCACATTTAAATTTAACTAACATCCTTCCCAATCCACTTAAGTTTTTTTTTTCCATTTTGAAAAAAATTAACTTTTTGTTTATTAACTAACAAGCATTTGATCAACTATGGTTAGAGCTTCTTTCCCAAAGAAGTCTTTAGACAAAACTGTTTGCCCACTCAACGATGCACTGGATTGTCCACAGGGTGACTCACCAGATCAGCGTTCCTTCTCCTACTACCTAAGGGCAGTCTGTTTCAGCTAAACTGAATTTCTTAAGTGTTTTCAGCAAAAGTCCTAAATGCATCGTAAGTCCACACTAACTTCCACTCGCAAATAACCCCATGCTTACCCAGTGAAAACCGAAACACATATTCCTCATATTCGCTTTCTGAGTAAAGCAGCAAGGGACATTTGAAATGCATAAGGTTAGAAATTACACTAAAGCTCATTGTTCACGTTAGAATTTGTATTTCTAGCACAATATACATTTATGTAATTGGATTCTTTTTTTAAAGTTTATGTATTTATTTTGAGAATGAGAGTGCGCACATGAGTGAGGGGGGGAGGGGCAGATTGAGAGAGAGAGAGAGAGAGAGAGAGAGAGAGAGAGAGAGAGAGAGAATCCCAAGCAGGCTCAGTACTGTCAGCACAAGCCTGATACAGGGCTTGATCCCACTACTATGGGCTCATGACCCGAGCTGAAATCAAGAGGCGGATGCTTAACTAACTGAGCCACCAAGGCGCCCCTATGATTAGATTCTTAAGAAGGCTAAATACATACTCAAGAAAGAGCCTGAAGTTGGAAGAAAAAGTTCAGGTCAAAGTGAAAATTGATAGGCTTTTTACACTAAGCATGCTTCTACTTTATTTACTTAAAAGCAAAATACAGATGAAGAATTCACTATAGCTTGGGAAATGAATGACGATCTTCTTCTCCCCACAATTCCTCACAGAAGACAGTTAGGGTTTCAAGTACATTTAAAACCTGGCAAACACAGATAGATGACTTACTGGAATCACCATAATGTTCCTCTCCAGGAAGATCTTATCAGCCTCTGGAGTTGTCGGCCCATTGGCACCCTCAGCAATGATCTGCAAGAGAGTCAGGACATACAGAAATACCAACATCACCACAAACCCCTCCAGCAGGTGCAAGAGGTGTGTGTGTGTATGGGCAGGGGGATGGGCAGGGGAGTGGGGGCGGGAAGAGGCAGAACTCCAGTTTGAATGCAATTATTAAGAGTTATTTTGTTCTATAAAGCGTATACAATTATTTTTCACCTTTCTATTTTCCTAACTGCTTTTTGGAAGCTTGGTTTAAGAGGAAACTCATGGTGATGGATGCCTGCATAACTGTGAATATATGAAAAGCTATGAAATTTTACACTTGGGTGAACTGTATGGTATGTGAATTATATCCCAATAAAGGTGTGAAAAAAAGGAAAGCCAACTAAGAGCTTTTCTATGACCCTCAGGGCATTCTACATTGGTAAGGCTGAGCTCAGGTTCTATAATGCTCTCACCTTGGCTTTGACTCTGGGTGCATTGGACTTGGTCAGCTGCTTCTCGCTGGCAGCAGGGATCAGTATGTCACAGTCAGCCTCCAAGATGCTCCCTTCATAGGGTTTTGCCTTGGGGAAGCCCAGGATTGATCCATGTTGCTGAAATTGATTGAAAAATCAGAATTAATGGCTACATCACTGTTTAAATGTTTATGTTTAGAGCCTATGACATGAAGACTCATCTATTAAGAGCTCTTTGGGTTACATTTTAAAAAGTAAACAATGGAAATAGATTTTAATAAGACTTATTTCAACTTTACAATATTCAGGGTAGTCAGACTACTGAGATATTAGATTGACATACCAATTTGAAGTCTTCCAGTTCCTTTGGGTCAATACCATCTGGATTCCATATGCTCCCATCAGATTCACCAACACCAATACATTTAGCACCGAAACGATGTAAATATCTCATAGAGTGCAGGCCCACATTCCCAAATCCCTGTGAAGAACAATTACACGTGATATAGAAACTGAAGTCTTAGTGCACATGGTAAAGTCGATTCTGACCAGTACCCTTTCTGTAAGTTTAGGAAGAATTCTCAGAATCCTTTGCCATAAGAAACAATGTACTAAATGGCTTCTCTTTAGCAATTTGTTTCAGAACATGGAACCCATTAATTTGTGATAATGGGTCCCAAAGAACTTTAGTTTGGTGCAGCCTTGTGGCTTATAAAGAACTGGCAGTGGTCAGTCATGCCACCCAAATCCTCAGGCCCTGATGACCAGGTGTCCTATGGTTGCAACAACATAAAGTCACTCACTGGGAGGCATATGAATTCTATTCTATTTCAAAATAGGATTCAAAAACAAAAATAAAAAAGTACATTCAACTTAATTTAGATTCCACTCAATAAAATATCCAAATAGCAAGCCCATGCTTCCTCAAAGTTGAAATATTCAACTTTTAATTCAAAGTTTAAATTTCAATTTAAATTTTGACCCAAAGAAGTTGGTGATAGTTTCATATGTATCTGCAAGATACTTAAATTGGTACTAGTCACACGAATTATACCAAGGTTCAAAAAATAAGGCATGTATTACTCTGAAAACATTCACTCTGGAATTTAAAAGATTCAAAAGAATGACATTTTAAAAACTATAAATCTAAAAACACTAAAAAACTTCCTTTATGTAGATCAGTTATTCTTTAAAAAAGCGAACATTCTTACCTGAACAACAAACGTTTTGTCTCCAAACCCTGGTGTCATTCCTAAAATACTCATGTAAGAAGCTTCATTGATGAAGTTTTCAATTCCATGGAAAACTCCCCGGCCAGTAGCAGAGATCCGTCCATGGATTCCACCCTGACTGATGGGCTTACCAGTAACACAGGCATGGGCATTAATATCCTGCAAGAAAAAGTCAAGATGTCACATTTCTAACTAATATGCTCATTAAGACTATGTGTGTGCTCATGGTACACATTCACCAATAGGGAGAAAACTTACTTTTTCAGATTTCTATTGTTAGAAAATATATAATAAAATAGACTATATTGTCCAATGGGATAAACAAGGTTTTTAGGAATTTAACATCATCAAGTACAAATAATAATATCACAAAACTAGAGATAGTTCTGCTTAAAATATTATTCCCTCAAAAATATTTAAGCCCTATTAAGAGTACACATCTCACATGTGTCTTAAAATCTACTATAAAACTTGAGCTCGTCACCAAAATGGAGCCTAAGTAGGAAGAGATATTATGGTGTTCTCGGTTAGATGGGAACACTCGATATGGTTAAGATACTCTTCTGCTCAACTAATTTAGAAATTCAATAAAATGCCACTTAAAAAAAAAAAGAACTTTATTTTTTAAAAATGTTTATTTCTGAGAGAGAGAAAGAGAGAGAGAATGAGCACAAGCAGGGGAGGGGCAGAGACAGAGAGGGAGACACAGAATCTGAAGCAGGCTCCAGGCTCTGAGCTGTCAGTGCAGAGCCCGATGCGGGGCTTGAACTCACCAACTGTGAGATCATGACCTGAGTTGAAGTCGGATGTTTAACCGACTGAGCCACCCAGGCGCCCCTAAAAAAAAAAAGAACTTTAAAAGATAATATTCAAGTTCAAATAAGAGTGGATTAACAAAAGTATTCAAGAAATTAAAAAAAAAAAAAAAGACAAAATAACTAAGGGGTTTGCAGGAATACCTACCAAATAAAAATACCCATTAATCCAAAGATTCTACTTCTAGGAAGTCACATTTTTTTGTGCACTTAGTATGGTATCGTTGGGGTTAGGGAAGCAGAAAGGTATATGTGGGTGAGACGGAGCCGCTCCTGCCTACACCGTGAGGGGAGGGCCTCTGGTGGCAGCAGTGTGCTCTGGAAAGCAGGGTGGGAGAGGATCTGTCTTCACCACCCGTCTTTCTGTAGTCTGTGAACTGACCATGTATTCTTGTTCAGAAACAACCATAATTAGGAAAATAAAAGGGCTTGGGAGAGCGTCCTTTCCGAGGTATATCAAATATACCGTCAACTGTATCAGCCAGAACAGTGCAGGAGAGACAGATTGATCAGTGGGGCAGAAGAAACTAGACAGTCCTACCACATACAGGAAACCAACACAAAATGAAGGAGGCGTTTCAAATTCGTGGACAAAGTATGGATGGTATGGCTACTTAATAAACTCGTGGGGCACTCTGTTACCCATGTAAAGTAAGATGAAGTGCCTTACTTCACACCATAGTCCTACCCTCCAATAGATGTTCTAGCTGGGTGAGTTAAAAAGTGACCTGGATTTTATCTGTATTGTTTAACTATTTTTACCAAGACAACTTAGAATTATATTAGCTGCATAACTGCCAGCAAAAAGAATAAAAACTAAAAAAAGAGAAAGTGGTTAGTAAAGTGATTTACAGAAATTAGTAGTTTTCCCACAGTTTGCCTTCATGAATAATTAACACTTGCGAACGCAGAATTACACACCTAGTGCCAAATGCTTTTAAACAGTGCAAATGCAAATGCTGGAGCCACAGTCCTGTCGAGGTCAGGCCCGGTGCCAGCTGCCCAGCTCCCCAGCCCCCCAGCCCCCCAGCACACCTGACTGTCCCGGGAGCCCACCGACAAAACCCCTCCCTCCCAGGCCTGTGCCTCTGGGCAGGATTAGACACAAGTTGCAGCATGTTCAGGTCTACATCTGGAAATCAGAAAAACTGTAGCTTCCTTACTTTTAGGCCCTGATTTTGGTGTCACTTTAAGAAGGAAGTCTTTTGCCGGGGTTTGCTGGCAGAGCCTCACAAAATTTCCTTTTGTTGTTAACCACTGGGAATGAGCCACAAATAATGTTTGATATGTGGCCCACTACTCTGCACTCTTCAGTCTAGCGTCTCGCTTAAAAAGAATGAGAGACCATATCCAGAACTCATTTAACATCAAAAGGTGACATGGAAAAGCATCATTTTAGGGAGTGGCAGTTGAAATAAAAATTCTTTCAGGAGTCTCATACTGCTCCTGTTTCATTTCAGGGATTTATGCAATTCACCTGATGTAATACTGTGTGTTTTACTAAGGAGTGGGTGCTGTTCTAAGTGCATTATATTACTAGCCACTTAACCCCCACTGGGTGCTATTACATTGTCGTCTTACACACGAGGAGACGGAGGCACAGAGAGCTCTAGGCACCTGTCATGGGTCACAGAGCTGGTGTGTGAGGGAGCCTGAGAATCCAGGCTGCCCACCCGTGCTCCCACCCACAGACTGCACTCCCTCAGAAATTCAGACATCAGCCCGGGTCTGAATTCCTCCCCTGCATGCTGCAGCCCCCTTCCTTCTTCTCAGGAGGGAATATTTCTCTTCTCCAAGGCTCATCTTTCCACTAAGGCCCTTAAAAGGAAAATTCATGAGGACTTGTTCCCTTGGAAGATTCTGCTACCTCTACTGTTCACACCTTTCTCCCATCGTCTCTCACATGGAGGAATCTGGGGCCATAGCCAGTCAACTTGCCAACAAAACAACAAAAACCTTTCTCTTTGGGCAACAGCCACATTTCAAGTCTTCTCTCTGCTGTCCAGTGCCATTCTTCTCAGGGAAGGCTACTCTTCATGCCCTACTTCCCTCTCTCAACACCCCCTTGCAGCCTGGCTCCAATCTCCGTCCCATGAATGATCTAGTTGCTGAACTGGTCTCTTCCCAGAAACCCCTCCCTTAACATCACCACATGGAACTCTCAGCACTTCTCATTCTTCTATGACTGACTGCTTTCCCTCTAAATCCCTCTTTAGTCCGTCCATTTCTCCCCAGCTCCAGGGCAGGCCAGTACCCCCTCTCTTCTGGGCTCCTGTATGGTGTCCTGCCCCCAACAGTCCCAATTCTCTGCTGCACACAGAGTGGTGCTTAAAATGCCTCACACCTGCTTACAGTTAGCAGTCCCCAGCTTCCTTCTGGCTTCAGGACAAAGAACCAGAGTCTCTGCTGTCACTCGTGGGGTGATGATCTAGTCCGACCTTCCTCTAACTGGCCTCTCCTGTGCCCTACTCTCACTTTCCCCTCTGACTACCACGGTCTCCTCTCAGTCTCAGGTTCCCCTCTTCTGCATTCCAGAACTTTGCTCAGTGGTTCCTTCTGCCTGCCACACTCGCACCCCCACCCATTCCCCAGCTGATCCTATTCAATGTTCAGAGTGCAGAATAGAGGCTTACTCCTTCACGGAGGCCTTTTCTGATGTCACCTGCAAAGGCTTGGCCAGGCCCCCTTACACCTTTTCGCAGCATGAGAACTTCCCCTGCTCTCATTTATCCCAACTGTACTGGAAACCCTGCTTGCGTGGCAGAGGTACTCCATGTATGCATTTTTTTTTTTTTAGAAACAGACTCTTTTTCTTTTTCTTTTTTTTTTTTCAACGTTTATTTATTTTTGGGACAGAGAGAGACAGAGCATGAACGGGGGAGGGGCAGAGAGAGAGGGAGACACAGAATCGGAAACAGGCTCCAGGCTCTGAGCCATCAGCCCAGAGCCCGACGCGGGGCTCGAACTCACGGACCGCGAGATCGCGACCTGGCTGAAGTCGGACGCTTAACCGACTGTGCCACCCAGGCGCCCCATGTATGCATTTTTAATGTACGTCTTTTCAACTCCCTTTCGATTCCTACCCCTTAAATGTTTTTCAAGGTTCCAACCCTTTTCCAAGAACGGAAAGTTGGCTTTTCTTTTTGTGTTCTGCATTAGTGGCACTACTTCTGCTCAGTCCCCTAGATTCAAGTCTTCCCGGGTCTCCTTTTCCTTGATGACACACATCCACTGCAGTCCTGCGGAGCCTATCTCTGCCATGCACCACTGCTTCTCCCTAGCCCCCAGGGCCCCCGGGCTCCAGGGCAGCCCAACACCATCAGCTCCCTCAGCCCCCAAGACAGGGTCGGCACCAGAGGCTCCCCTCTCACTGGCCTTGAGTATTTTTGTCCTAGTTCATGTATTTCTTTGCTCTTCTATCACCCTTCTAATATGCCTCATCTCCTAACGGTCTGAGCTCTACTGTTTCTCCTCCTATCCCCGCAACCTCCGTGTTCAAATTCTGCCCATTTTCAAGGTCTAGCCCAGACACCTCATCCAGGAAGCCTTCTTTCAGAGATGTAACTCCATCTCTGTATTACACTATCTCCATACCTCATCTGCTTCTTTACTTCCCTTCTAGTGTCTTGCAGCATGTCCTGCTCTGCCTAGCAGGTGATCCGTTGTCGAGGTTCCATCCCAGCTTTCAGGATGGGGAGGCATGTAAATGAAAGCTCAGGCCATATTCACTACATTTATGGTTTGTGACTAGAGAGAGGGAAGTAAAATAATATGCCAATCAAGACGTGATTAAAGGAGAGGAGAAAAACCCAGAGAATTCTCACCTTCCACATACAATGAGCTTAATTGCTATTACTCGTAGATGGCAAATGAGGCCCTCAGGACCTTCGGTGGGTACTTACATAGTGCCCGATGGTGCTGGCATAGGTATCAGCAATCCAGGACATCTCCCGCTCGCCCGTGCTCATGTCTGGGGCAGGCACATCGATGCCAGGACCTGGGGCACAAGGAAAGGGCAGTGTGCCAGCTTTTAAGATAAACTCCTCTCAAACACATAGATCCTTGGGATTTTCTATAATAACAAAGCTACCACTGTTAGAAAACTTTAGATTTCATCTGTGTAACTAATTGAAGCCATTAGTTGAAATTAGCCACTAATTGAAATATTTGCTAAGTGTTTCACCACACAATTATACACACACACTGTTACATAGTAATTTCTTACGGTCCTGTTTCCTGGCTCTATGTTTGGAGGTTAGCTCTGCTGTGACAGATGTGAGCCACTCAACTGAACTTCTGAACATGTGAGCATAAGCAAATCAGTGTACCCCTCTTGACGTCAGTTCCTTGAACTGCAGTTAGAGTAAACAGTACCATCTTGCCCTACAGAAGGAGGACTCTTACGGTTAGGGAGTGTATGAGTCTGAGACAGCACAGAAACACATCACTTCTGGGGGCGGGGGTAGGGATGGGTAAGCCCTCCCCACCAAGTAGGAAAAGAAGAAAAAGACACACTGTTGAAGCAACTGCATTAAGTCCCATAATACCTTCACACCCGTGCTTTGGCCTGTTGTTCAAAGCTTACTCAGTGTATGCAATTTTAAACCTTAGCTTTCAATTCCTCAGATCACAGAAAATTAAAAAGTTTGAGGATAATAAGAAGTTAGTCCACAGGCAGCAGCAGCAACAACAACAAAAAGTCTAGTGACAGCACTAATACTGATGGCCACACTGAGATCTCAGATAAAAATGCGTTAAATGATGCCTACTCAAATCGGCCAAAGTAGGGATACACAGAAATACATCTCCCGAAATAGTAAGAATCAAAACAACCTAAGTATCTAGTGAGTCAACTAAATAAAATAGTGTTTCCATGTAAAAAATATTCACCGAAACACACGTGGAAAAAAAGCAGGTTTCACACAGCACGTATATAGTATGTTCCTATTTAAATTAAATTCTTTTTCCCTCTCTAGTTAGATCTGTGTAATATCTAAGCATCTATCCTTCCACGTGTATACACTGTCTGCGTGCAGAAGTTTGGAAGGACATGCTCACACTTGTTCATTAGGTTTCCATTTTGGCCTTGTTTATAACTTTCTATATTGTGTCAATTGTATCATACAAACTCATTACCTTCATAAAAAGGAAAACACAACTTTAAAAATGATTAAACTATTTAAAATTTTTTTTTTAACGTTTATTTATTTTTGAGACAGGGAGAGACAGAGCATGAACAGGGGAGGGTCAGAGAGAGGGAGACACAGAATATGAAGCAGGCTCCAGGCCCTGAGCTGTCAGCACAGAGCCCGACGTGGGGCTAGAACTCACGGACCGCGAGATCATGACCTGAGCCGAAGTCGGCCGCCTAACCGACTGAGCCACCCAGGCTCCCCAAATGATTAAACTATTAAGTCTGTCAAATAAAGTTCTTTCTAAGGGCTGTCCCTGAGTTCTATATTTTTTACTTTTTAACCAATAGAACAAGGTACGTTTTAGTATTTTCCTACATCTCAGACACCCAGATCCTAGGTGATGTGTTTCTCTGCACAAGTTGTGATGCGATGGACACAAGATGGCATAAGACAACTGAGAAGTGGTCAAGCCTTGCTTTTTACAGTCCTGCCCCTCCTCCCGGCAATCTGTCACCCTCCTGAGTTGAGTACCCTTTCCTTTAGGCAGCTTCTAAACCTCATGAAGTCTGACTTCCCCAAAGTTACTCTCCTTCCATATAACTCTCCTACTTGGAAGGATTCATTCCACATTCTAGCCTCATCCTCTGACAAAAGGGCTCTACCATCCCCATTTGCTCATGATGTCCATTCCTTTAGAGTGACATACGTCGAGGATGTGAGTAAAGATTTGTTTAATCATACTGCTTTTCTCCCAAGGTATCAATGACAAATTGCTCCTGAATCCTTCTGGTGGTATCTACAAAAGTATTTTAGCAATATCAAGGGTCAAGTAACCTTGTTGGCTCAAATAACAATTCCAGTTGGAGAAGGGCTATTGGCAAGGAGCAAGTATGAGGAATATAGTTTGTAAATCAGAAATGTACCATGATACATTGCTTCTCAAAAACCTCAATTCATCTAGACAGCCTAAGGTGAGACAGCTCTCTCTACCCAACGCCAAAGTCACAAAATATTATTAGGCTTGTGAGTTTTCTATTCCACACAAAAATTGACATTCAGATCACAAATAGTTCCTGAGTTGCAGAAAAATTCTCAAATATCTTACAGAGAACAGGTCTGAAAGTCCATACCTTGTAGAACATGTAACTACCCTCAGGAAAGCTAAAATGCCATCACTCAATCCCATAATAGTATAAAGAAGGTGAAAAACTGGCTGGAGAGTGCAGTTGCTTTAACAGAGCATGAGCAAGAGCTGAAAGGGCAATTCTGGTGCCTGATACACTAGGGGAATAAAAGGAGGGAGACATCAGGTTATTGCAAGGGAACTTCACGGTTTGCAAAGGTGGTACCTAAACTCACACAGCAGAATTAGCACCAACCTTCACAAGCTTTAAAAAAAAAAAAGACATAAGAGGAGAGAACACTTCTTAACTCATTCTATGAGGCCACTATTATCCTGATATCATAGACATTGCAAGAAAAGAATCCTACAGACCAATATCCCTTAGAACACACACATGCATACACGTACACACACACACACACACACACACACAAAATTTATGAATGAACTTGTCAGAAGTGGTATAAATCTGTGCATCGAAGACTACAAACTACTACTGAAAGACCTTAAAGGACGCCCGAGTCTGTGGACAGTCAGTATTCCTGGACTGGAGCACTCACCATGGTGAGGACGGCAACATCCCTATGAAAACCCCAGCTGACCATTTTTGCAGAAACTCAAAAGCTAATCCTAAATGCACACAATGTGACAGGGTCAGGACTCCGAGCCAGCTTTAACTCATACTCTCAAACTGTGTGGAAAGAGAAGTTGGAGAAGAATGGAGAAATGACATCAGTTCCAGAAGTTTGCTCAGGACCAGTTCTGTCCTGGGGGAAGAGAAAGAACTCCTTCACCTCCCTCTACGTGCCACAACCGGGTTAGCTGCAGTGTGAGGCAATGAGGCCTCAGTACTTAAACCAAGGAGTCAAACTGCTTCTAACCTTTGGAATTATAAGGTACTTGACAATATAAATGTAGAGAAAATTAGCTGGTTATACTCTAGATAAGGGCAATAAATACAACTGAATAAAGTCTGAAACCACTCAAGACCATTAAATACGTTTGCGACTTAAGCTAAGAGGAAATACGATATAAAAATCATGAAGGCTGTCAACAGGCTGAACATGACAGCAGTTCCCCAAATCTCAGAAGTAGTGGGCATTTCCGTAAAGGAGGCAGTCAACTCCAGCTACCCAGTGCCTTGCTTTGCCGGTATGGTGGTAGTATGAGCTCACAGCAGTGCTGAGGGGGAGGCATGCCAGGAATCCACATGCCTTTTGTTTGTTTACTTACAAATTTTTTTTTTTAAATGTTTATTCATTTTTGAGAGACAGAGAGAGAGAGAGCAGGGGAGGGGCAGAGAGAGAAGGAGACACAGAATCCAAAGCAGGTTTGAGGCTCTGAGCTCTCAGCACAGGGGCTCGAACCCACCAACTGCGAGATCAAGACCTGAGCCTAGGTTGGATGTCCAACCAACTGAGCCACCCAGGTGCCCCCCACCCCTGCATGCCTTTTAAATGATGAAAGACATATTGAATCTGGTAAAATTCTAGTGTTAACTTTTATTTCTATGCTAGTTTATTTATTTCATGTCCTTTTTTTTTCCCTAAAACGAGGGCATTTCAAAATAAAGATATCTTAAGTTCATAGGAACCTGTCAACCAACAGTTGGGAGAATATTGGGGAATAAAAACACAGGGGCTGGAAAACAGAGAAAGAGTAGATTTTCTTTCTTATTTTAGTCAGTCTTCTTTATGTTACAAGGGCAAACATTCTATTAAATATTTTTTTTAATTTAAACAAATTAGAATCCCTCTAGATCAACAAAAGAAATATAAAGACTTAATTTGCTTGAAAATTAAAGTTAAAATGAATATTTACACATCACAGCAAAGAATTCACATCTCATACGAAAAAGCACATGAGATAGATGACAGTATGATACGGAAACATCAAGCCAGTGAAGATCAGCACCTAGGGATCTAGTGTTTGATGAAAGGGCCTAGTAACAAACATTAGGAGCCCCAGGAACCCTCCAAACCAGCCGGTGATGGCAGCGTGAGCTATTAGTGTGAGGCCCCTCACCTCCCAGCCTGTGCCCACTGTGCTGAACCTCCAATTCCAAAGGCATCAGATTTCCCACTGCTTTCAGAACAGGATCACTACTGTGAAAGTGATTTCTACATATTAAAAAAATGTTTATAATACAGGTATTATTCAGTTCCTAGAATCTTTCTGGACATCACAACAGAGATTGTACAAGGAGACGAGGTGGAGGCGATCCCTCTGGTGTCCATACTGCATAGTGAGAACCTGAACTTTGCTATTAGAGATGTATCAAAAACAGGCCCATGTACGTCCACCATATTTGTCACAGAACCCAGCTTTTCAGAGTAAAAGGGCAGTTCTACCCATGTACACGCAGGTAAAAGCAGGAGTTTACCGTAAGAACATTACTTTTTAGATGTTCCTACTCTGTGGAAACCTGCATGGTAATACGTACCAATAAAGCCCTTCTTTGCCAGCTCCATCGTAAACCTCCTTGTGATCTTTTCTAATTCATTATCCTATAAAGGAAAAACATGAAAACAAAACAACAATGAAACAAATGTTTTTGACAGAAAACTACTGGTGGAGATAGGTAATAGTTGGATTATATTTTCTATTTATAGGACATTTTCACCTATCTTCTTGTGTAATCCTCAAAGCTCATAAAACAGGCATTTCCATTTTAAAGATGAGAAAATGACAGATCACAAATTAGGTCATATAAACAACAGACAGTAGAATTAGGGCTCAGATCCCAGTTCCTGTTCTTTTTGTATTAATATAGGACCCTATGAGCAATCCCTACGGTATATTTTCATTTAAATGGTTAATCTTAAAAAGAATGAAATCATACATGTTATGTTTGTAACAGATGTTACTTTGGTGCTGTAAAGTATAGTAATGGCTTAAATTAACTTGGAACTGATAGGATAAACAATAAGATTTTTACTGAATTAAGACATTTGTCACTGGACCTTGATAACCCAACACAAAAATCTCATAGTAATATATACTATATTTATATAGAGCATATTATATTTATGTTATAGAATATATAACACGGATATAAATGCCTAAGAATATGAAGGTATTAACTACCTTCTAACCAAGTGAGAAAATGAAAAAAGGACATTGATCATTGATGTTAAGCCAGGTGACCCTTATATGGCACAACACTCAATGTGTTAATTCTTTACTTGTTTTTCCATTCCTTTAAAAAGCAATAGGGGCCATTAATCTCACTGATATGGGGACACACAGAAGCCCAGTAATTACAAGTCCCCCATCAGTGTTATCATGTGCACAAATGTCATTTTGTTACTTACAGTATAGTTCTTGGGATTGATCTTAACACCAGCCTTGGCACCCCCAAATGGCACATCTGGAAGAGAAGGCTGCAAGTTGTTATTCCACACAAAGGATAAAAAACTTAAAGATGCAGAAAGCACTATGCAATGTATAAATATGACACTTTAAGCTTTAGTTTCAAAAAATTCAAGAAATAAACCCACATCAATCTCTTCTAAAATGTTGTACTTTAACTAAAACTCTAGAGGAACAGAAATGATAAGGCTAGGCAAGTTACGATGCGTAATCAGTGTGCTTTCCTAATTCTAAAAGAAAAAAACATTTATTTCCCTTCTACTATGATTTGGTCTTATTTACAGTGTACAGAAAGGGATTTAAAAAAAAGATCTACACTTCAAGAAAATCCAATTGATTCCTATAACAAGTCCTCCATTAAAAAAAAAAAAAGACTAACTCTTAATTAAGGCTAATTGAAAAATGGTGCGGGCATTAAACTGTGCACCTTGAATAACATCCTAACAGTAACCCTGCATGTAAACATATTTCCCCAAGCGCCATTAGGTGGCAACAAAGGAGATCACTTACCAACCACAGCACACTTGTAGGTCATCAGAGAAGCCAGGGCTTTCACTTCATCTACACTCACATCAGTGCTGTAACGGATACCTGAGGGGGTGAGAAAGAAGGGGATGCATTTAGAACACCCCTCTGGCAGGTAAAAAAAAAAAAGTGCTAGAAATTGAACTGTCCACACTTTTTGCATTTCAATACCTTGGTTATTTCCGAGAACACTTAAAGAAGCTTATGATACAAAGTCCAGGGAAATCTAAGGAGTCACCTAGCAAGAGCTACAGAATGAGCACTGAATTTTAAATATTTGGACAGTTATGAGCGAAAGACTGGTGTTGGAGTGCAGTTTCTGTGTTCTGGTACAAGCTCAGGATGAGACCATGGAGCAGGGCTCCTGGGGATTAAGAGGTGAATGGGGCACAGTCCTGTCCTCTGGGGACTGACAGCCCAGTGGGAAACACCAGTAACTATGATTTCACAAGACACAAACCACCTTCAAATGAATGTTACACTTTTAGGAAGGCAATTAACTCCGGGAAGGCTTTAAAATTTTTCTTTCAGGGCCCCTGGGTGGCCCCTGGGTTAAGCGTCCGACTTCAGCCAGGTCACGATCTCGCGGTCCATGAGTTCGAGCCCCGCGTCAGGCTCTGGGCTGATGGCTCAGAGCCTGGAGCCTGTTTCCGATTCTGTGTCTCCCTCTCTCTCTGCCCCTCCCCCGTTCATGATCTGTCTCTCTCTGTCCCCAAAATAAATAAACGTTGAAAAAAAAAAATAAAAAAAAAAATTTTTTTTTCTTTCATGTTTTGACTTAGGTGATTTGGTAGCAAGGAGCTCAAAAATTTGCTTTCTGATAGCATACAAATATGAGCAAATGGATAGTCAACAGATTGATTCAACCTAATATTAGATGTCTAAATAGAAGTTCTGGCTTCAAACGAGTACACCCAGATGTCCCAGTCTCTTCCTCCCTTCATTCACCGTCAGCCTGTCAACCAAGAGACGAGAAGCTGGCAAGTCATTTCTTTTTCTTGGAGATGAGCAATTCCCTCTATCCTTTCTGCAAGGATGGCAGGAGGCCAAGCGACAGACAACTAACTGTGTCTCAATGCGCCTGTACTTGGTAGTGTTAGGTATTTGGTAGAGTGGACGTGGAAAGTGAGTATGTCCACTACTTTGGTTTTGTGGGTCCTGGTCACTCACCCTCCCAAGGTTTTCGGGTTAGGCCACCCTTTGTCCTCTGCAGTTCATTGTTTCTCAACCCAAAGGAAGAAGGCCAGGGTGAGGTTAATGTCTGCATGGTACCTGGCGCTCCCTGGCACAATGTGTGTTTGTGAGCGATGAAGGATTCTTGAATGACGCTGGGTACAACTTCCACTGAGTTACAGTAATGGGGGGCCTCAGGGACATCTCTTAAAGAATTTTGGGAACAAAAGTTTTTCAGACAGCAATATACAATATCTCATAAACTGGTGGTTGGCGAAAACTTCCCTAGTCATTTTTTTTTTTTTAATGTTTATTTTTGAGAGAGAGATAGCAGCATGCGTGAGGGGGGGAGGGACAGAGAGAGAGGGAGGGAGAGAGAGAGAGGGAGGGAGAGAGAGAGAGGAGAGGACAGACGATCTCAAATAGGCTCTGTGCTGACAGCAGAGAACCCAATGTGGGGCTGGAACTCATAAACCACGAGATCATGACCTGAGCCGAAGTCAGATGCTTAACTGACTGAGCCACCCAAGCAAGCCCCCCGTCCCCATCATTTTTAAAAGATGGCTTCTTGTATATTTCTGCAAACATCTATCTAAACACAAATGATACCTTTTCCAATTAGCAATAACTGCACCTTGGATAAATCTCACTGGCTATGATACTGCCAGTGCACAAAGCTAAACGCCAATGATATGACTTAAGAGAATTTTATCTGTGGTACATAGATCATAAAGAGCAAATTCTAAAGCTGAACATATTTCTTTAGCCTATTAGAAAAATAAAATGATTATATTTAGAAAAGGGAGCTCTTGGAACAAATTTACTTGTTAATGAAATTTTAGAATAAGGAAGGACAATTTTTTTAATGCTTATTTAGTTTTGAGAGAGAGAGAGCAGGGGAGGGGCAGAGAGGGAGGCAGAGAATCTGAAGCAGGCTGTGCACTGTCAGCGCAAAGCCCAACATGGGGCTTGAACTCATGAACCATGAAATTGTGACCCGAGCTGAAGATGCTCAACCAAATGAGGCACCCAGGTGCCCCAAGAAGGGATAGTCTTTTTAAAGATAGAGCAGCTACCTGTTGCTTTAGAGCTTGCTTCCCTATTTTGTTCAGGCCTCTATTAAAACTTTCTTCATTCCAAGAGGCCTTCCCTGACCACCTTCTTTAAAACAGCACCTTTCTCATTCCTACTCTCTAGCCCCCTCTACGTTAATGTTTTACCACTGACTTTATTTTTTTTTTCAACGTTTATTTATTTTTGCGACAGAGAGAGACAGAGCATGAACGGGGGAGGGGCAGAGAGAGAGGGAGACACAGAATCGGAAACAGGCTCCAGGCTCTGAGCCATCAGCCCAGAGCCTGACGCGGGGCTCGAACTCCTGGACCGCGAGATCGTGACCTGGCTGAAGTCGGACGCTTAACCGACTGCGCCACCCAGGCGCCCCACCACTGACTTTATATTATAGATTTGTTTATTGTCTTGGCTTCCCCACGTGGGAAGTTATCACCATGAGGACAGACTGTATTTTGTTCAATGCTTCAATTCCTGGTCCCTAACATAGAAAATGGCATGCGTGTATTAGGCACGCAAATACAGGATGAATAAATACATGAATATTTCTTGACTCTTAAAACTTAAGGTATTAAGACAGAAAAACCGTAGTCTCTAAAAATTCTGACAGGCCTATAAGTTCTAAACAATTCACAATACACTACATGTATTACAAAAGGACTATAAAGCAGTAAGAGGCAAAAGCACCAGGTCCTAAAAAGTACGCCAGAAAAAAAAAATTGTAAGTAATATTACAACTAAACATTTGTTTCTTTAAATTTTTTTTTAACGTTTTTATTTTATTTTTGAGACAGGGAGAGACAGAGCATGAGCAGGGGAGGGTCAGAGAGAGGGAGACACAGAATCCGAAACGGGCTCCAGGCTCTGAGCTGTCAGCACAGAGCCCGATGCGGGGCCCGAACCCACGGACTGCAAGATCATGACCTGAGCCGAAGTCGGCCGCGTAACCGACTGAGCCACGCAGGCGCCCCAACATTTGTTTCTTTAAGGCAAAATTGGGGAGTGGCTCAGTCAGTTAAGGGTCCGATTCTTGATTTCAGTGCAGGTCACGATCTCACGGTTGTGAGGCTGAGCCCTGAGTTGGGATCCATGCTGAGTGTGAAGCCTGCTAAAGATCCTCTCTCTCTCTCTCTCAAAAATAAGAAAAAAATTTGGCTTAAACACTAAAATATGTTTTGGGGCGCCCGGGTGGCTCAGTCGGTTAAGCATCCGACTTCGGCTCAGGTCATGATTTCGCGGTCTGTGAGTTAGAGCCCCGCGTCGGGTGCTGTGCTGACTGCTTCGGATTCTGTGTCTCCCTCTCTCTCTGACCCTCCCCCGTTCATACTCTGTCTTTCTCTGTCTCAAAAATAAATAAACGTTAAAAAAAAAATTAAACACTAAAATATGTTTTTAAAATCAGTGAAAATGCTACTATGCAATGTGGCAAATGCCTCAGTGAAGGCCGTGCTAGGCCAGTGATCTGGGCCGGGTACTTCCTAACCACGTGGACCCAGCTCAGTGGCAACTACTGTGGTGACTGCACTTGCTTACCTGGGGAGGCACAGCCTCTGTTCTCAGGTTCCATCAAGACCGCACAGGACAATGCACGTGAAGCAGCTGACATGGTCAATAGTTCAATCTCAGCTATATTATCACTGCTATTATAAGTATTACGAAGCAGTGGCAGATAACAAAGAAATCTATGTCTTAAAAAGGATAAACTTATAGGAGTTTAAACAAACAGCTTAATAAACCTTGATTTCATTACTTTAAGATCAATTCATGAGGGCAGAATAACAGTCTGCTATTGAGAATTAGTATTTCTATCATACACAAAGCACTTTCTTCATTGCTCTTTTAGAGTCTGTGGAAGTAGTCATTAAGTTATTTTAATTTCCCTTTCTTTTTAAAAAAATTTTAAATGTTTATTTTTGAGAGAGAGAGAGAGAGAAAGGGGGAGGGGGAGAGAGAGGGAGAGAGAGGGAGAGGGAGACGGAGAGAGAGAGAGAGAGAGAGAGAGAGAACGTGAGCAAGGGAGGGGCAGAGAAAGAGGGAGACACGGAATCTGAAGCAGGCTCCAGGCTCTGAGCTGTCAGCGCAGAGCCTGATGCGGGCTGGAACCCACCACCAAGAGATCATGACCTGAGCTGAAGTCGGACACTTAACCGACTGAGCCACCCAGGCGCCCCCAATTTCCCTTGCTTTCTTTAAAAATATTCCATTAGTTTCAGGTGTTCCACATAGTGACTGGACAATTCTATATACTACAGCATGCTCACAAGTGTAGCTACCATTTTTCTTGCTTTCTTAAGGGAAGGGAAAAGTTACTTTCCCTTATCCAGTGTTTCAAACTAATACATTCGGTGGGAAACTAAACACAGCCTGAAACAGTAACATTTACAAATCTGATTATAATCCTGTTATTCTAGACATTGATGCTAATTAGAAACTGGACCCCTCCTAGTACAAGACAGTGTAAACAAAATGCCTAGGTTACTGCAACAGTTCTAGAACCATGAGTCAGAAACTGTATGTATAACAAAAAAACATGTTTCCACTGGATGGAACCCAGGCATTCTTGTGTGTAAAGTGAAATTTTCTTTCTGAGCCACACCCAATCAGAAAACTCAACTGCAAGATACAGAAGAGAAGTAGTTACATAAATTACCTTTCACATCAGCATTTTCTGCAGGCTATGAGCCAAGAAAGGCTTCTAGTGAACTGAGGCAACGGAGGGGTAATAAGGAAAGGAGCAGAAGCGTTAGCCGGGCGGGGAAGCTCTGGAGCAGAGGAAGGAGGGGGCAGGGAGGTACCCAGAAAGGAATGCAGGTGGTCGGTTA